CCTATCTAGGAAATTAGGAGACCGAAGGATTACGCAGTCCAAAATTCGCTCGCTGTTTCACGTTAAATCTCCTCTCGACGACATCCCCTTGATTCGAATTCGTTCTTGCGTTACGTCAGACTTGGTGTTTTCCATTCAAAGTTCGGCTATATATTCCGTTTAGCCAAGATTAATCGTTCCTTCGAATTGTTCGCACGAGTTATCGATCGAAGTTAGCCCACGCTTTAAAGTCGCGGAACGTCGAAGAATATCGTGAAATTTATCCGAAGTAAACGACAAGATATATACGTTCCGGAACGATTAATAGAATTTCGCTTGTTTGCCGAGGAAAGGGACGCGTGAATGCAGCGATAAATCTCGAGATTCCCCGATCGAGTCTCTCGACGTCAAATTCCATTGAATAGGGACGCGCAAGAAATAACCGCGTGGGTGGCTCTTTTCCGCCGGCATCTCGATAACGCTCGCTCCCTGCGACCGCGTCTTACGCATTTTTCGTCTCTGACAAATCGTAATCGCCGATGCTTCCCTTCTCGCGCGCAACCGAACTCCTTTCCTCTTCACCGAAAAATCTATTACATCCCTGGATACCATATTTTCTCTTACTTCGCTTCAACCTTTTAAATCGTCCGTTATAAACGAACGACAAAACGTGGACATTGACGAATTCCCTTGATTCGATCTGCATATGTGACACACGCGTACACGCAACCCCTCCGCGACACGGTCCATTCGTTCGGTGAATTCGTTAAGCGAAAGCTAGAACCAATAGAAGTTAGAACGTCGTATCGCGAATTACGAAAACCGTCGCAATTTCTACATCCTTGAAACAGGGTTGAATGCACGGAAAATGGCGCAGTGGCGAAGGAAGTTTAAAGTCCGCGGTTAAACCTGAGAAACTGGCAAACCAGTTGCATCGACTATTTTTATCTCGCGACAAATGTCATTCACGATAGAAACCCTGCCTAGCTTTCCCATTTTCCACGACGTAACGGTACGCCGATTGTGCAAGCGGACGCGCCTCTCGTTTCGCGAAAGAAGTCGCAACGTGTGTCGAATCCGGTCAAAATCTAAACGCTGCCACAGCCTGCCAATTCGTCATTGCGATTCCACGCGTAGCACGGTGACGCGATGCTTCGTGCCTCTGTTCTTATCGCTCCGCATCGCTGGCATCCGCGCGGAGACGAAAGTGCAGCTCGAGCATGGTCGGAATTGACGCGGAAATCGCGATGGCGCAGGCTTGCAGATAGCTCGTGGCGATTGCACGGTCGCTTCGAGTAAGCTTCGAACTGTGGCGAGATAAGGGAATTGACACGGAAACAGCAACGGGAACACGGTAAACTGGTTCCGTGGCAGGAAACGCTCGTTTGTTTACGAGAGACATGGACTCACCTGAGCAGGTGCTGCGAGGCCCGCGGACATCGCGGCCGCAGACTGCTGTGCAGCCGCAGCCGCGGCCGCGGCCATGCTGGCTGCGGAGAGCGAACCGTAAGCCGCCGCGGGGCCGTAGTACGAGCCCATTCCAGCTTGTCCCATACTGCCAGCCATTCCTGTAACAGACAGTTCAATGCGCGTGAGAAATCTTATTCGGTAATCGACCGATTCGAAAGTCGAATCATTTCCTCGCGACGTCGATGTAACCGCAATTTGCTGCGAGCAAAGTGTTACGCGTTTCGAATAAGTCTTAATCGCTCGATGGTCCGACTATTGCGGCGACAGTGTTGGGAATATCGGGTAATCCGTGATTCCGTAAATACGTACTATGTCGCGTTGTTCGTTGTATGGAAACTAAGGAAGATTAGAGGATTAAACGTGATACATTGGAAGTAAAAAATGGGGAGAATTGTAAATCACGCATCGATTAAACTCGGATAAGTCTCGCGTGGATAAGTCGCATAAGTTTCCATTATGCTGTTTTCGTTGACATTCGCCTTTAAATACGATTAAAGGCAAGTAACTCGCTTACGTCCTGACGAATTCCTGCGAGCTTAACGCTACACCTACGACAATCGGTTAAAAGATCTATAGATAAGATGGAAACTGAAAGGAGAAAAATTTAAAAACAAAATGGAGGGAGAGAAAACATTAAAGAATTCGTAATACGTATATTAAAAGAAAAATCGAGAAGTCGAATAATCAGAGCGACAATTCCAAGTATCCAATTTTTAATCAAAAACGGTAATTTTCCACTTCTACCGTTCTTTATACCGAATGAAAATAGGAAAACCAAATTTGGAGTATCATTTCGAAGCAAGTAGATTCTCGATCGTGTGTTCGTAAAGTATGGAACGCGATTGGAACGGGAAAGGGTCGATCCAGCCGTCTCGTGGACGAAAGAAATTCTCGTTGCTCGTTTGGGATCGAAAGGTATCCTTCGGCAGGGATCTCTCGGCGAGACAAAAAGGCCCTTTTCCGGCGAAACACGCGGCGCATGCCACAATACGGCAATCGAACGAACCGATCGGCTTCGATCCTCACCTTTCGTCGATCGACAATGCCAATGATTAACCGAACGGGCCGAGCGTTTTCGTCGAGATTAATATCGGTGGCCGCGCGCGAGATCCCGCTCCGGGGCTTATCGATCATCGTCGCCGAACGACGGAAACGCGGCGAAAAGAATAGCTGTGCCAACGAAGGCTCATTGTCGACGCGGCGTGAACCTCCGCGACGACGAAGAAACGTCGCTCGCCGGCCGCCTCGAAAGAAGCTCGGGGATGATTGGCGTCGAGATTTATCACCGGCAACGAAGAATTCACGGGCCGATTATTAATCGCGATTTTGTAACCGACCGTTCCGCGGCCTTCGTCGTCGCCGATGGAATTCGTGGAAGAATAGGCATAGGACACCGGTAGTTGGAGAACATCGACGCCTCGCGTCTTTGGAAGCGCGTTCATCCCGCGTCCTCCGTGCTTTCCTTTGCTTTCCGTCCATTATTCCTGGCAACGTGCGTTATCGCGCTGATAATCCAGGATTTACGATTGTTTGGGGATGACGAGAATGATCCTTCGAACAACATTTTCGGTCCAACGAAATACGAACGGTCATACGAAATTACGTGAAATTACCGTAACTTAATATGTGCGACGTGCTACGATATACTAGTAGGCATAGGATGAGGCGTTGAATCTGTTTGATACGAGATTAAAAGGAAAAGAAAATAATTTGAAGCTTTATTTACGACTTTGTAGTATCCATGTGCTAGTAAAGAGATTCTTCGAATCTTCGAGTAAGGTTATATTTAGCGTATAAAACGAGTCTATATCTGCTTCCTAATCACTGTACGACTGTACACGCGGGTTCCCCGTATTACATCTGTTTACGTAAGAGATATAACAATGCCGACATCTGCTAGAAGAGCAGAATACCCTAATTACATGGATTAGACGTACACAATACGCACGTACATATAGTTACACGTATAGTATATAAACACCGGTTCGCCTTAAATATCCTATTCAGTTCTGTACCCAAAAGTGACAAGCAAATACGTATTAAATAAGCATAAAGTCGTATTATTTCTATCCCGTGCAAGCCTAAAACCAATTTCGCAGTTTATCCGTTCGCAGCGAATCGGCATATTATACATTGTACTTGCGGTAATAATTATTTACCGCATTTGTAATCGTGCTAAAAGAATGGATTTATGGATTCGACAATATGGAATTCGGGAATATTCGTTAATTTAATTACTCGACGACTTTCAAACGTACATTTGTCCGCCGTTAAATACCGGTAACACGGACCCGAGTCTTCTACACGGCAGACACACGAGGAACGCGCTCCGCGAGGCATCCTTCCGCTTTTTATCGCGAAACAAGGAGTCGCTAATTGATATTTACACCGCAAGATATTTCCCTGGACTTTTATATTCGCCCATTAATTTCGTTATTTATTCTAAGCCTTGGTTTCGCTGGGGGAAAAAGGGAAAAGTCGCACGGCTGCGCGTTCAGCCATTCGTCGAGCCGTTGGTTCGCTCGGCCGACTAATCATTATTAGTCCCCGCGCGTTGGCGCCGATCGTTTTGAAATAAATACTCGGAATCGTCGTTTTATCGCGATTCTATAAAAGCACCTCTCGAATCGCCAGCCCGAGGCGACTCGTAACTTGTTTCGCGTTTGTGCGAACGCGTCCAACGGTCCCCGGAGGGAACGAGATCCCCCCGTTTCATTCACGTCCCCTTCCGCCGGTGATCTTGTGGCATAACCGAACAAAATTATTAATTCCCGCAATGGCAACGGCCCGATTAAGGCCGGAATTTATCCCGCCGCCCACGCGACAACTCGAATCGCGATCGGTAATCCCCGATTTATCGGCCGTACCGCGCGTCTCCCTTATCTTTTTACTCCCTTCTTTACCCCCTACCCCACCCTTATCCCAACCAGCCTTTTTCTTAAATCGCGCACCGGTGTCTCGCGGCAGCGATTTTTCGAAAATCCAGAGAAGCAAAATGCGCAACTATCATTTTCAAACGCGTTATTCTTAAATGCAGTCGCTCGATATTTTACGCGATTATGGGCAATTTCGAAATGACACGATTTGCGTATCAGTTCTTGAATCTTCTTCGTATCGCCGACGAATAATATATCAGACGGAAGGAAGAGTTTGTTAAAGCGTATTATCTCGCGTAGCGTAAAGGTGCAAAGGTAATAATCGGTTTCTCTTTTGATATTCGAATTAGATATGAATGAAAGTCGAATGTTAATGAGCGATAAAAATTGCTCGATGGAACTACCCACCTGTGGTGTGTATACATTACTCGGATATAATATACACAGATAATAATTACGGCGGCTTAACGGAAATAAAGAGTACGGATAATTTCCATCCGAGCCATAATCGGTATTAGCTTCGCTAACAATCTGTATATCTTTCTGACAAGTCTGAATTAAGTCGTACCGACGTTTTTGGTATTTTTAGTATTAATTACGCGATATTTTTAGCGATCTAAATCCGCCGGATCTTGTCGCTAAAGATTCGTCGAATTTACTTCGAAGGGTACACAATTTGCACGAAATATTTCCGGAATCGTGCAATTTTCCGTGAACCGATGTCCAGGTTATTGTCAAGTGACGTCAAAAGGCGATCGAATTTTTCCAGTTGGAGGAGACACAGAGCAAGATCGTAAAGGCGACCGGTAAAAGCTACCGATCCGCTTCCTTTTTCTCTCCTTCTGTTCCGCTAGTATCGCACGGGTACTTTTTCCTCGTCCTCTTTTTAACCTCCGTGGGCTGTTGGCGAACACGTCCCTGCACGGTGGCACGCGCATAAGACAAGTGCGTGGGTGGCTGGGATAAATTATCGGCTTAGGCTGGAATGTCTGGCCAGGGTTTCCGCTCGCGCAGATAGCGAGCCGGGACTTAAGGTCGTGAGTTAAGGGAGAACCTCTCTCTAGCCGGAAATTCGCTCTACTTTTTTCAACAGTCCAGCGATATCGACAAAAATGTAAAATTATCTATTCAAGTCGCGAAGCGTTTAAAATCCGAGAACCGCGTTGGCTATGAAATACTGCTGCAGCGCCATTTAAACGATAGATAAGATAAATAAGATTGAGACGAAAATAGGACGGAAAACGTAACAATTATACGATTCGGGAAGATGAGAGGGAGTTGATGAAAATTGGATCGCGATGTGGAATTCGCGATTACATTTTGGGGGAATTTATGCAAATTTTACGACATCGCGGTGTACGCTTGTCCATCTGAAGAATAAATACGTGATTTCCTAAATTCGTACGACCCTGTGATGCTTTGCTATCCAATTCTAATACAAAGTACCAAAGTTTACGTGGAAAAATAAACCAACGGAGTTTTATTTGTTATAATTGGCAGATTTGCGATATTATTTCCAAAGACATCGAAATATTTTTAAAATTAAGTTTAATTTATAATCGTACAAATTTTCTTCTTTTTCTTTTCCCGTTAAGATATCTCACTGCTTAGTTACCCAAAAAATGAAACGCCAATTTCTTCGAGTAATCGTATTCATAGAGCCAAATCTTCGACTCGAGGAAGCGTGTAGAATAAAATTATACAAAATCGGCAATTAAAATCGACCAGGATTATAGGGTAATAAAACGCGTAAATTGTTGAAATCTCGCGAGCGATCGAGCGGGAATTTTCCTGGAAAGTATCGCGCAGGATTTATAATCCTACCAGCGTAGTCACGTGCTTCCGTCGAACGACTCGGGGCGTAATCGTACGCACAGGGGCTAAGACAATTCGATAAATAATGAGCCAGCGACATGTTTATGCTCTCGCGTGTATAAAGCCAATGAATCGTTCGCGGGGACTCACGGTCCTTCCGCGCCGAAGGGAATTATTCGACGATTTATTCCGTACCCTCCGAGGCCAAAGATCCTCGAGATACCCGCGCCAACTTTTGACCCGTGTTTTCGAAAATAAACGCGGGGGCCGTCGCGTGACTACTTAACTTATTTCTCCGCTCCTTCCCCTTTTTATTTCTTCTTATTATTATTATTAATTTTTCCCCCGAAGATCAGCCTTTTGCACGGTATTTCGAGTCTACCTGCGTCCGTGCGAACGGCTTCCTCCGCGATCGTTCTTGCTTCAAAGCAATAGCGATGTGCCCGCCGTCTGTTTGTCCGATCAGTCGATTCCTCGATTTTTATCAACGAAGCACACTCGGGTATAATTATCTCTGAGTTGAGTGTTACGTAAAAGTCACTTGGACGACTCTCAAAGTAGATACGTGAGAATTGGTCACCAAGGAGAACGTCTGAGATAATTTTTACTCGGATATTTTCGCAGCTGCAAAATTCTTCGAACTTGTTCCATAATCGTTGGTCTAAGGAAGCAGGATCGGAGGATCGAGCATTCGCGGATCCCGACGGTATCCCCGTGGAAGTGAAAATGGACGGCCGGCAGCATCGATTCTCGCGCGAACCGTTCGTTGTCCCGGGCGACAGCTAAATGGAAATTTCGTGCATCGAGCGATTCGTTCGCCCCCGCCGCCGCTGCCATTCACGATCATAATTTCACGCTCGATTGTTCCGCGGCCGAATCCCGTTTTTCTTTGACTCGCCGCGTAGAAATTCGAAATTACGTAATCCGCTATGAGGTGGGAAACAATGGGTACAATGGAGAGGCCGGGACGTCAAACAAATCTGTGTAAACCCGAGCCGAGCCGAGGGGGGTTGGGCCCCGTGTGTACGCGGTCGCGATTCATCGAACATCTGTTCGCCGACGATCTCGCGGGGACGCTTCTACGACGCGGACGGAGATAAGGCAGGCCGATCGGAATCGACAGATGCCGATCTCGTGATTGAACGGAGTTTTGCGCCATTGTCGCCTGGCAGAGAAACCGGTCAAAGCACGGGGTGAACTCGGATCGGTGGATACATCTTGGGACTTGCATGTGTCCAAAGAGTATCCGAAGCTTGTACGGTGTATGCTACTCGAGAAATGGACGGCAGCAACCGATGATCGCCAAATGACCTAATCTTTCTCTCAGGTATACACTCTCATAGTCAAAAGATAGTAAAGATACTCGATATAAGTGCATTACGGATATTTGTATTTTGAAAGCATAAATATAGTTATAATTTATGGAAAGATTATAAATTGTCATATTTATCGATAATAATAAATTGTTTGCGACATAAATTTATAAAAAAAAGTGAAAAAATTAATAAACTATTGGCTATTACTTGAACTTGAAACGTACTTGTGTTAAAATGTACATATAATTTGCAAAAATGTTTATAAAATATTACACTTATTGTTAATAACAAATTAATATTGTTATTAACAAATTGTTTGCCATCTATATTTCTGATAAAAGTGAAAAAATTAATAAATTATTGGCTATGAGAGCGGAAAATTAATAATTAATAGAATCGGCGAAGTTCAAAAATTTCTGATCGGAGTGGGGGGCTCGGCCGATCGGTGGCTATATAAAGGGCGTCGCGCCGGTGCTGGAGTCATTTGTCGGCTTGACTTTGGAAGTGTAACATTAAAATTTTCTTTGTGGGTGGTGGGGAAGGAAGGGGGTGGGGGGCAGTAGTCATTTGCTAGACTATTGGCTAGTCTACAACCACTGTCCACTCCACTCACACCACACCCCTTAAAATAATTTAATAATTTTTTGGGAGAGCTCAATTATTTTTTTATCGCATTTTAATTGTTTTTATTTTTTCGATTCTATTTATTTTTATTTGAAAATTCGAATATTTTGCATAATATTCAAGAGGATTAATATCAAAGAAGAAACTTTGGAAAATGATTCGAAACTGAGAGAAAATCCAAAGTTCAAAGATACCGATATTTGTGCAAATGGAAAAATGTCTTCATATTTTGGCGAAGTTCCCCACTGTACGTCATAGCTCGCATTCGGAAGTTGTGTATAAACAGAACGAAACGTATTAATCTTGAAGCGAAGATTTCGACGAGTTTATGCATTCTGCCATTAAACCTGGCTGATAAACTTATCTCTTGCGATGATTCTTCCTTAAACGAGACACGGAACAAACAAATCACCGTCATCGTTACGATCAGCCCTGCTCTACCTAGCCCGATTCCATCCTCGGCTCGACCTCCACTCTACCCGACCCGTGTACTGACTTCCTCTCCTCTCGACGGATAATTACGCGCTTCATTATACCCCAGCTCCGGGACAAAAAGTACGACGAAAGGGTACTAGCAACAGAGCGATACTTGGACCAGGAGAACTGGACCAGACAAGGCGCGACGAACGGCGTAGCCGCGAGTGTCGATCTCATTCGGCTGTTTGCGCAAGTGCATCGTTGGCATTCGTTGATAATAAACGGCGATGGCCGGCGAAGGGAGAGCGCGTCTTTGAGGCTAAAAGCGGGCAACGCGTGAACCATTAGCGAGCCGCTGGAGAAAATGGCGCGGAGGAAACGAGGGTCGGTCGAACCTCGAAGAAATCGCCATTATAAGACTTCCGACCACGGAACCCGGGGGCATCGCCAGCAACAATGCGGCTGAAACGCGAGCCGAAAAGATAAGAATATCAAAGCCCTAACAGACCAACTGTTCTTCCTCCATTGTACTCGGCCGCAACACACCTTCGAATCGCGAGATTTCGCGGGGATCGATCCGGTCTTGTCTCTGGCCATCGTAATTGCATTGTTCCCGTCGCTATCGCGATGCAGCGTTTTCAGACGGATAATTGCGTGCAATCGTGCAAGTTTCTTTTTACTACTTTCTTCTTTCCTCCGTTACTTGGTGTGGATCGAAAGGCGTCGTCGAGGGTTCAAGTATCGCGATTTTTATTCCAAATAACAGAGGCTTAGAGGTTTCCTTCGAATTTTTTACGCAGTGAAATTCTAATTCTTTTTCCCTTTTCGATATCAAGGTTCGCGTTTCTGTTTCGTCATAGTGGAGATATTGAAATTAAATTGGATGAAGAAGATGGACTTACCAGCTCGAAACGCATCCATGGGCACGCTGGGGTACGGAATACTGTAAGGATAACCCTCCTTCCGCAGGGTTTTCGGCTTTCTTCTTGGTCTGTACTTGTAATCGGGGTGTTCCTTCATGTGCTGCGCCCGTAACCTTTTCGCCTGGTCGATGAAGGGTCGCTTCTCGTCCTCCGTCAGGAGTTTCCATTCCGCACCTGGAACAATGCGTCGTTTCGATAATTAGAATCGACGGATTAACGAGCTCGAACGTTCAACTACTTCAAGTTCCATCGAGTGCCGGGGTAAAATTATCAGAGAGCCACAACAAAAAATTGAACCGTTGAAATACTGCTGTACGAGCTCAAAGGGAACCTGGGCTCGAAAATTTTCATTGGAAAACTTTTCTAGTAGCTTGGATTTTCAAGTTCAATTTTTTCCTGGTCCTTGGAGGTATCAAAATAAAATCGGTGTTTTACAAAAATACGAACACGCGCGACTTTTAAATTATTTGCAATCCAGAGTGACACCGGCTAAAAGGAATTTTACCTAATTTCTATCGGTATTATTACGGAAACGATATTTTTCGTCCCGAGGAGATCCGTGTCACCTGAACTCTTGACACCAGCGTCATCGAATGTTTACCTTTCCGCACCTCATCGGCGGAAAATTCAAGCAAGTGAGTAATCGCGAAAACATTCTTTTTCGCTACGCGAGAAACACGATTTCGTAAATATATCCGCGACCTACGTGATCCGAAAGAAGACACGCAACGGGCAATGAATACACGGGAATTTAAGAAATTTTAATTCCAAGCAGATTTTATTCGCAAACGAATAGTTTCTGATCGACACCTGGATAGAATAAAGGGGGGAAAAAAGGAGCAGATGAAAGCTGTGGCGAATAATTTTGAAGGAGAGCCGCGTCGCTGGTTCCCTCTCGCGAGCTTGTGTTTGCGGTTCGTATAAAGCAGTTTGTAAACGAGCGATAGGCACTTGGATAACGCGTCCGATCAATGAGTATAAAAGGCATTCGGACGGTGTGTTTACCCGATGAAACGGCCGTGTTGTGTGCCACCGGCGGCAGAACCAGCCGTTATGGCTGAATTATCGACGAGCCGGTAATCGTGCCTCATTTAAATCCGCCTTGTTCGCGATTGGCCGCGTGGAAAATTGCGTTTCCATTTTTTCCCGGAAACTCTTCCATTTTCTTTTTTCTTTTCTTTGTTCCGTCGAAAACGATCGTTCGCGGCTAGTTTCCAAGTGGCTCGAGCGAAGGGAAAGTTCGCGTAAGGACGTTGTCGTAGTTACGAGACACGGTGGTCGAAAGGTGAACAACAGCCTAGTCGCGACCATACCCGCGGATAAATAATGGTCGGAGATCGCGACACCCCTTTTTATCGCGAATTTCATCGACGTCCAAGTCACGCAACTGGAGTGATAGCAACGGCTCCGAATGGAAACTCGAAGCGAAGAAACTCTTAGTCAGTGTTTTGCGAAACCATCCATTGGATACAGTGGATCCATTGGAGCATGAACCTGCTTGTTTCGGACATTGAAACGCGTTTATCGTGTCCATGTTCGATCGACGGTCTGTAAATACCCGCTTAACTGGACCTCGACACGAAACCTCGCTCGATAAAGTATTCTCAAGCAACACCGGAAGAAGTTCCATTCCCGCCACCCCTGTTCTTTATTTAAACAACCTATATTTTCTAATTCCAATACCCGCGCGTTCTAAGCCCTTCGCGGATCGTCGGTTGAACCGAGCTTGCGTGTCTTTTTCGCGCAATGACGTTGGAATGATTCGTTTTGCTAGTGTTACAACAACAGGACAGAATTTTACAAGCGTAATCATCGTCTCGATATAAGCGTTCAGATAAATTTTAACACCTGCTAGCACCGGCGTCGCTGAAAATCCCATCGCTGCTATCGACTTTTCCCGCAACTCCTCGCGCGCTAGTCTACTCTCGAAATCTCTGAATGTCCGCAAAAATACTGCAGATCAACTGCACGCAAAATCCACACCCGCGAGCGAAAACTTTCTCCCGTCTCTCCACCCTGTTTTCGCCGTTCCATCCGCACGCTGGCCCGATCAAAAATCGCAGACACCGTCTGGCGTGCGAAACAACGGCGCTGGCGCGTTTCAAACGGCCGATTTTCGCGTTTGAACTGTTTTACGAGCTCGCGGGTAAAACGGTGGCAAAGAGCGGGCGGTCGTTTGCCCGAAACAACCGATGTTTTCGCGGCGAAACGCTTGCAACAGCCTGCACCCCGCGCCGTCGCCCTCTGTTTGGCGCTTTGGTTGTTCCTTCAACGGTAGCGAGCCGATTGTTTCACCGAGAATTAATTACCACTTGTTGTCGGGGTGCTGGCTACGGCTGTGCAGACAAAGCGCGAAGCCCCGGCATCCTGGAAACGGAGGCCTGGCTCAAACGAGAAAACGACGCGCGGCGTCGCGCGAAGTCCGCACCCGCGGTTGCAGCCGCGAAACAAAGGCCTCCAGCCTCGCGCCAACAATGGCCGCCGATGTCGAGACGCTCGCCGTCTTTCCGCGTCGATCTTCGGCGTCGCGCGTTACGCCAACGCCAGCGCCGTTTGATCCCGCGTCGTTCTTGCTACGGCTTGCGATTTTCCTCTCTCTGGCTAATTATTAGTTCGCAAGGTGGAATTGCCAGTTCCAGAGGAAACGATGAAATTTACGTCGAACTGGCGAGAGGAGTGCTTGGAACAGAGCTGTTTGACGAAACACGTGACCGAAGATTGATTAATTCGTAGTAACAAAGGGGCGAGAAAGGGAGCTTGGGAGTGCGTGCTCGTGGCTTGTTTATTCTTTGCCTCGAAATCTGCTGGAGGTGAACGTTGGTAGAACTAAACGAGGGTTTCCTAAACCAGACTAATCTTCGAAAACCCGTCTCTCGGCTAAAGTTTTCTCATAGGACTGCAGAGCGAAACGAAACTTCCGTAACTCGGGAAGAAACGAGGCTTTTCGCATAAATCACACGGTCGCTGTTGAAGCATTGAAACGTGACGTAATCGGGGAAAGACAAGAGGAGGCAGAAGGAAAATCGCAAAGGAGAAGAAAAAGACGAAGGAGCACAAGAAACGGGACCAAGGAGAGAGGCTGAGCCCCGACAGCAATATCAGGAACGAGCACGTTCCGGCCGGGCACACAACGAATCGCTCAAGGGGGATGAAAGTTCTCGATACAGAGAGGAGATACACTGGCGGAAATTCGAGGCGCACCGAAGCAGATACGGGAACGAGAGAGGATGGGATTCACGTTGCCCGATGGATCTTTTACTCTCCTCGTTATTGTTGCTGACAGCAGGCAACGACAATGGAAAGAGTTGCTTGCTGTATAGCGGAGCACGCGAAGGAAGAAAGATAGAGACACACGGGGAGAAAAAGAGAGGAAAAGAAGAGACTAAACAATACGGACACGTGGTGGTTCACAATGAACTTGGAGGAACGGTTGCGAGAAAGAGAGAAACGGAACGGGGAATACGAGATTTTTGTCTTCCGGCACAATGTGCCGTGCTGATAACACATTCGAGCCGAGCCGACTGGTGTCGAGCTATTCTTAATCCTTGTTCCACAGCCCGTTCTGAATGCTTTCGGGGAACGGGAAAGGAAATATAGTGTTTCGGAATAATAGTTCAATGGAGCACTGTTTGCCTCTGTTTCCAGCTTATTGAGATATTGCCTGGTGACGAGCAGTGTAGCGATTTCGATTCAACCGCGAGCAAGGTGGTTCTTTCGCTAAAACGATATTCCACGCTTAGCGACGTCGTCTTTCACGTTTCCTAAAATTTCTCCAGACTATCCGTCATCTGTAAATTAATAATGCCGTACGAATCTACGAACGGTTCGCAATTTTTTTTAGTCCACGAATTTCAATTTATACTAACGGCTTATATAATTGCACCATGGATCACCAACTCTTC